GACTTTCAGTTCTATGACTGTGGGCCAAAACCAACAAAGATCCAAATCCTCTTTCCTTGGGAGCTTGAGGAGAGTTTACCAGTTCATGTTTCCATTAAGTCTGAGAACTTTGCCTTTAAAATCTATTCCTGGCTGCTGCCTACCCCTTCCTGGTCTGGGGAATAGAGTCGAGGGGGCCATCCTTAGTCACCATCCTTTAACTGTCTCCACAGAAACAACAGAACCAAGAAATGGTGGATCAGTTGGAAGAAGTAACTGTTTGCTCACAACATGACTGCTGGATTTGGGGGGCACTCAGATGTAGAGGCTTCAGTCTCGTCTCACCCACTCCCAGCCTGGGGAAGGCTCACCCCCCAGATTCCACCCCATCCCCATAAGGTCCCTGATAACTTGGTCCCATGGGTGGAACTGTCCTGGGGCATTGGTGCCATTCTGGGGGCATGTCCCTTGCTGTACCATCTCTGCTTCCCCCTAGTAAGAGCTCTGTATTCCTTTTCCTATAGGAAAAGAAAGAATGCCACCAAAAGCAGGGAGCTCTAAGGGAGCAGTTACAGGTGAGTAGAGAGTGTGAAGTTCCCTCCTGTCCTCTGGAGAATGTTTCTTTCCTTCTCTTTCAGCTTTTGGCTTTTCTACCAAAGGTTCACATTCAGAATGTAGAAATCCTTGTATCAGAGAAAGCCGAGTTACAGACAGCCCTGGCTCACACTCAGCATGCTGCCAGGCAGAAAGAAGGTGGGAATCTGGGCACCCCATCATCCTTCAACTTGGCACTTTGACAGGCCATTGGGGGAGTCCTTTGGGCCCCATCTGAACCTCTCTCATTCCAGGAGAGTCCGAAGATCTGGCCAGCTGCCTGTAGTATTCCTGGCAGTGTGTGGGAGAGTTGGAGCAGGCTGTTTGCTGTCTCCATACAGCAGAAGAAAGCAGACAGGGTGAGTCCAACCACCTGCCCCATCCCCTGGCAGCCTGGCTTCCCAGATGGCGGAGTGAGCCTAAAGGTCCCTTCTGCAGGATGGAATGTCCTGCCCAGAAAGCAGCATGGACTATTTCTCACTGCTTGTGTGTGTGGTGGTTAGAGGTAGCCTGGGGCTGAGTCAGCTGCTGTGGGTGAGTTAGGGGTCCTATGGAGAGCGAGCACTGGATGCAGAGTTCGGAGGCCAAGTCCTCGCCCTACCCTTAACTGGCTTTGGCCTTTGCCAAGTGCTAGGTGGGGGATATGGTACTTGTACTGTGAAGGTACAGAAGAGTATCTTCAGTATGTTACCATTTGTGTAGAGAGAGGGAATGTGTGTGTGTGTGTGTGTGTGTGTGCGCGCGTGTGTCTACATACATACTATGATCATATACATAAAATGTGTCTACAAGGATTTATCAACTCAGGAAGGGGTTAGGGGGAAAGGGGAAGGAGAGCATTAGGACAAACACCTAATGCATGTGGGGCATAAAATCTAGATGACGGGTTGATAGGTGCAGCAAACCACCATGGCACACGTATACCTATGTAACAAACCTGCACATTCAGCACATGTGTCCTAGAACTTAAAGTAAAATAATAAATAAATAAAATAAAACACAAAAAACTCAGGAGAGAGGAACAGGGTGGCTGGGAGATATTTCCCTTCTGTACCTTCTGAGCTTTGGACTATGTGAATGGATCATCCTTTCAAAAAGTGAACAAGAGATTGATTTCCCCCTTCCTATCTGTGCCCCCACCCCCAGCGAACAAATGGGCTTAGAGAATCAGATACACCTAAGGGTTCAAATCCCAGCTCTGAGTGATCTTAGGCAAGCACTTAATCTCTAATACCCCATGTTTTTTATCGACACAATAGAGGTAATAATAGTAGTTGTCTCATATGGTGGTTGTGAGGATTAAATGGGATTGTTAGCATGGTGGCTAGTGAAGCACTCAATAAGGGTTCAAACAGTGGTAGTAATAACGGTAAAATAATAACAATATTGTTTTATCCCTCTGGGCCTCTGTTAGCCAGCTATAAATTCAATCTCTTTCCCTGTCCGTTCACCCTTACTAAGTTCTTTTAAAAACAAATGAGACTGACCAGGCGCTCAGACTCATGCTTGTATTCCCAGCACTTTGGGAGGCCTAGGCTGGCGGATCATGAGGTCAGGAGTTTGAGACCAGCCTGGCCAGCACAGTGAAACCCTGTCTCTACTAAAAATACAAAAATTAGCTGGGTGTGGTGGTCGGCACCTGTAAATTCCAGCTACTCAGGAGGCTGAGGCAGGAGGATTACTTGAACCTGGGAAGCCGAGGTTGCAGTGAGCCGAGATAATGCCACTGCATTTCAGCCTAGGCAACAGAGCTAGACTCCGTCTCAAAAACAAAACAAAAACAAACAAACAAACAAACAAAAAGCAAATGAGATCATGGACTTCGAAATGCCTTGAAAAAATGTCAGGTGTGATTCAGAGTGAGGAAGTGTTACTGTGGAATAGTTACTGAGCTGTTGGTACTGGTCGGCCAGCTGCTCCTCTGCCTGCTATATCCTGACTTAACCTTGGCCTGTATTTTCAGTACAACAAGGAGTTAACCAAAGAGAGAAACACCCTCAGGCTGGAGTTACACAAGAACAGGTAGTATGGGGGAAGGTGGGATGGGAGGTCTGGGAGGTCTGGGGGCCCTTAGCATGGGTGATGTGCTGGGAGGTTGAGGGGGTACAGGTAAGCATGGTGAGGTGGTCATACAGGTTTGTACATGTGCACAGTTAAGCTGTAGTGCTGGTGACTCATGGTGTAGCCTCGAACAACTCACGCCTCTCAGGCCTGCCATCTGTAACTTTGGATTCCTGGGGTTCCTTCCAGTGCTACGGTTCTGTGGTTGTGAGGCAAGGGTGGAGGGTTGATCACCAAAGCAGTCCTTTCTGTTCTTAGTTCATTCCTTTCTCTACTGCCTCTGGCCATAACCGAATCAATGAGGACTGAAGCAGGAGAAATCAGAATTGGAAGAGAAGCTTTGAGTCCTAGTGACTGAGAAGGCTGGCATACTGCTTAACTTAGAAGAGCTGCAAAAGAAATTACAAATGACTGAACTGCTTCAACAAGCTAAGGACTGCAGCCGCGGAGGTGGTTGGAGCCCCATCCAGCTGGGGCCATGGTCTAGGGATCATGCCAAGAGTTGGAAAATTTCGGTCCTTGTTCTGATGCTGCCATAGAATCCTCTAGAGAGTGCTAAAAAATCTACAAATTGGGGCCCTACCATAGACCTGGGGAATCAGAATCTCAGGGTTAGGGCTTTAAAAAAAATTTTTCTAACACATCATAGATGAAAACCATTATTTGATAAATTACATTTATATGGCTAGCTAATGAGTCTGTTTATTTCCATCTGAGGTTCAAGCCAACACTTCCACTATTCCATGGGTAATAATAGAGAGTAGAGGTTTTTTGTTTTTTGTTTTTTGTTGTTTGTTTGTTTGTTTGTTTGTTTCAGATGGGGTCTCTATCACCCAGGCTGGAGTGCAGTGGTGTGATCTTGGCTCACTGCAGCCTCTACCTCCCAGGCTCAAGCGATCCTCCTGCCTCAGCTTCTCAAGTAGCTGGGACTATAGGTGCACACCACCACACCTAGCTAATTTTTGTATTTGTAGAGACGGGGCTTTGCCATGTTGCCCAGGCTGGTTTTGAACTCCTGAGCTCAAGTGATCCGCCTCCCTCAGTCTCCCAAAGTGTTGGGATTCAGACATGAGCCACCATGCCCAGCCTGAGATCTTTTTAAAATTATTTAATTTTTTATTTCTAAAACAAAGAAACTTGACAGCAGAGTTGTATTGACTGAGTTGTACACTGAGCCTAGCCCTAGCCCTTTTAAGGGGCACTGTTGGAACGGCCCAGCCTCCCGGAATCTAAACTTCTCACTCTTCACTATCTGGTTTTCAAGGCACTGTGAAGGCCCTGATACTAAACAGCAGTTACTGCAGGCCATGGAGGAGCGGGCATAGCTGGAAGCACACCTGGGGCAGGTGAGGCTTTGCAGGGGAGGGATATGGAAGGAAGATGACCCCAGGTGGCCAGGAGCAGGTGAGGACCAGTGACAGCCCTTCGTAACTTCTGTCCCCATTCTTGAAGGTAATGGAGTCAGTTGGACAACTACAAATGGAGAGAGAGAGACGTATGCTGAAAATCTGAAAGGAGGGAGTGCCATGTGGCAGCAGAGGATGCAGTAGATGTCAGAGCAGGTGAGACCTGACCCTTCAGCCCCCCACCTTATATAGATCACTTGATCTTTCTAGGCGTCTGTAAAATGGGAAGACTATAGCCAGAGGTGATCATGGGTCTAGGCTATGTGGAGTCAGGGTCAGAGATGGAGATGGTAGCCCATCCAGCCATCAGCCCCTCTCTTCAGGGCCCTTTCCTGCTGTATTTTGGGCAGGTGCGCACATTGAGAGAGGAGAAGGAGCATAGCATGAGTTGGGTATAAGAACTGGAAATGAGCTTGGCTGAACTGAGTAACCAAATGGGTAAGCTGGGACTGTGGTGACCTGGGAGCAGGACTGGTATCAGAGTGCTGTGGGGGTGGCTTAGAATGCCCCAGGGCGGTGGGTGGATGGAGGGCTTTGGGGCAGAAGGAAAGAGGTCTGTGCCAGGAGTTGGCAAGTCTTGTAATCTCCATGAGCCTCAGTGTTCCCATCAGCAAAGAGGGAAGTGTGCCCATTGTCAGCCATCCACAGTTGTCTCTATCAGAAAGTGGCGGGAAGACTGGCTAATATCCGGGTGCAAGGAATCATTAGCAGGGAGGCCAAGTTTGGGGAGCCTGAGAGGAGCTGTGGACCAAGAGGAGGGTGTTTTTTTTGAGAATCCAGAGGCCCTTACTGTCGCTTCCTTTCTTACCTGAGCCGTGCCCCTGGAACTCCAAGCAGGGCCCTCCAGGGTGGAGCAGCAGCTACAAGCAGAGGCTGGCCACCTGCAGAAGGAACTGGAGAGCCTGGCAGCTCCAAGCCCAGGAGCAAGACACTGAGGGCTTCAGTCACCCGAACCAGGAGTGGGAGGAGAGGCTGCTGGAGCTGCAGCAGGTGGCCAAGCTCTTGGGGGAGCAGGCAGAGTTGCACAGACAAATCTTGGAGACCATGCAGAATGACTACACCACCATCAGCCACGTGCTCACCCAGAACCACGAGCTCAAGGAGCAGCTGTCTGAGCTGCAGAATGGATTCATAAAGCTGGTGTGTGACCCCATCAGGAGAGCCTGCCCTCCTCCCTAGCCCTCCCGACCTTTGTTTTCCCGCCCATAAAATGAGGCAGTGTACCCCTAATGTAAGATGGTACTTCCGAAGGTACCTGTGAACCAGAGCCCTGCTCTGATGGCTGTGGGGAAGAGGGAATGATTTTTCTAACCTGCCTCCACCCTTCCTGGTGCCATGGGAGGCAGACGCCAAGTTCTAGGGTCTCCAGCTGCAGTGGATGGCTGCCGATTGCTTCTCTCTGTCCAGACTAATGAGAACATGGAGATCACCAGTGCAATGCAGTTGGAATAGCACGTAAAGAGGGAGCTGGGAAAGAAGCTGGGCAAGCTAAAGGAGACGGTAACACTGCACCATCCAAGAAGAGCTGGAAGGCGGGCACCAGCCTCTGGGGAGGGGAGGTGTGAGGCCAGAGGCAGCTCCAGCCTGGGGAACAGGTGACCCCAGCACCCTCCAGGGCAGTCCTGTGACTGTTTCTTGCTTCCTGCCCTCTGACTTTTAGTGGTGGGCTCCTCCCAGGTCTGAACATCATCATCCCGGCTAGAGTCATGGAGCCCCCCAAACATAGGGAAAGAGACGGTGGTATAAGAGGCTCCTCAGAGTCAAACTGGATTCTGGCCTTGGCTCCCCTCATCACCATTCAACTACTTTGCATCTCTAAGTCTCAGTTTCTTTACCTTAAAAGGGAAGTTAGCACCTTCCTCGCAGAGGTGCTGAGGATTAAATGAGATAATACGTGGAAAGCATTAGGCATGTGGCACAGTTAGCAGATGGAGGTTGGCTCCCTCTGCTTTTCCATCAGTCTGTGGCCTAGTTTAAATGGTGGAAGGAAGGGTGTGAGATTTAAGTCTGGGTGTAGGGGATCAGTCAGTGTGGTTGGAAAAATTGTAAGATGAAGTTATAGGATATAGACACAAACCTTCTTGGAAGGCCAGAAGGTCTGCACAGCTTCAGTAAAGGATTTGGCTGAAAGCAGCCTAATCCCCTTTACCTTGAGTTGATAGCAGTAGAGCAAATAACATGGGAATGTGGGGTAGTTTATCTGAATAGCTTGTTTACTCATGTGGTCCTAAGACCAACCTTTGATTATCCGCGGGTGCATGATTGCTCTCTACTCGGTGGTCGGCAAAGTTAATTACTCACAGGTGTGTTGACTCAAAGCCTTTGTCATTAAGTCTGTGCTGAATAAATACCCTCAGGGCCAGCTAGTCAAGGCACACAACTCTTTTTGTGTGTGGCCTGGCCCCTTAGCTGCTCTGTCACTGAATATCGGTGTCTGAGTATGTTATTCATCTGCCATGCAGCTGGGGTCTGCAGGATAGACCCTTGCAAGTGGTGCCCTGCGGGAGGCACACTGTGAAGGATCACAACGGACCCCTCAAAAACGAAGATGAAAAGAACTGTGCAAACAGTAAGTTAGTAAGTCATTGATGCCCACTCGGAATTTCCAAGTTTGGGGGGATTGTTCAGGCTAGGGTTTCATCATGGGACAACAGTTATCAGCTTAACAGAAACAGTATATAAAAGTATTGAAACAGCTGCTTAAAGCTAGTGGAGCCTTGGTTTCACAGGCTCAATTAAGGGACCTAATGCAAACTGTTGTCTCACAAAACTCATGGTTCCCAGAAAAAGGAACGCTAGACGTAGAGCTCTGGGAACAAGTGGGGAGAGATCTTAATCAACATCATGCGCAAGGGCAACAGGTCCCAGTATCATTTTTAATGCTATGGGCCTTAGGGTGACCCTGGCTCTGTTATACAGTTATACACAGAAGAACCTAAAAAGGGGAAGGAGGAGGAACCGTCACCTGCCTTACCACCTCCTTTTCGCTCAGCCCTGATATCAGCAGACCAAAATAACAAAGAGGAAATGGAGATTTTGCCTGAGCCCCCTCCTGCAATAAATAGGAAAAAAGACAAGAGCTACGCTACAGCTATGGGACCCTTTCTTAGGCAAGAGGCATTAAAAGGGGAGCTCTTAGCCTGCCTGGTAATGCAAGGTTGACAAGGCAATTGGGTATATAAACCTATTTCTTTTAACGTTTATAAAAAGTTAAGAAAAAGCATTAGAGGTTGAAGCCGTGTGGCCAAGCTGGTGGTAGGCAGAAGGAAATGCTTGGCAGCAAAGGAAGCTCGTACACCTGGAGCCAGCGAGTGCTTCCAGGAACTCGGCCTGCACAGAGGTAGCAGTGACAAGGAGCCAGGCCCAGCACACCAGAGCTGGCCTGCTAGGGAGAGGCAGGAGGCGTGCACGAAGGTCCACTCGGCTGGCAGCAGCTGCCCAGCGGCAGCAGGTTGAGGGAGCAGCACAGACAAAAGGCGGCACAGACAAAAAGCAGTGCAAGTGCAACATGGCCGCCGCCCTGGGACCCACCTGCTAGACGCCCAGCTCCGCTGGCCCACGGCAAAATTTCACATGTTCCTTGTATACAAGTGACATCCCGGATTATAATTCTCTGCTAAGATTTAAGTACAATTTAAGAATTTAAAACACCTCTTTCTAATAATGGCCACTGTTGCTTTTACACTGTTTCCCTGGAAAAGCAAGACAGAGAAAAATTTGTGTTTACAATACCAGCTATCAATAATGAAAGGCCAGCTTTCCCGATTTCATTGGAAAGTGCTTCCTCAAGGAATGCTAAACAGTGCTGCCATGTGTCAGTATCATGTAAATCAAGCTTTGTTCCCCAGCAGAAAAGAATTTCCTGATTGCAAGGTTATTCATTTTATGGATGATATTCTACTAGCAGCCCCAACGGAGCCAATGCTTTTAAGTTTGTATACCTCTGTCATAAAGAATGCACAGCTGAGTGGTTTAATCATTGCACCTGAAAAAGCACAAATGTCCTCTCCTTGGAAATATCTTGGGTACATACTTACTTCCTGGTCAGTAAAACCTCAAAAGGTTAAATACTAGCAACTTACACACCTTAAATGATTATCAGAAATTACTAGGCAATTTTAATTGGCTTCACCCCACCTTGGGCATTCCTACTTATAAGCTGCAAAACATGTTTTCTATCTTAAAGGGCAACACAGTCCTGGATTCTCTCAGGTATTTAATCCCAGCAGCAAAAAAAAAAAAAAAAAAAAAAAAAAAAGATGGAAGAACTAGAACAGGCTATTTCTCAAAGACAAGTAAATCTCATAGATCCAAAATATTCTGTTCAATTGTTTATTTTTCCCAGTAAACACTCCCCTACAGGGTTAATAGGACAAATGGCTCCAGAGCTATGTTTTTTAGCATGGGTTTTTTTGCTCACATACCGAGACTAAAACACTATCTCCCTATATCCAGTTAATCAGTAAAGTCATATATTCAGGCTGCAGATGATGCAGTCACTTGCTAGGTTGTGATCCTGATATCATCAGGATTTCTTTAAATAAAAAGCAATTCAAAGCAGTATTGCCCTTATCGATGGACTTCCAAATAGCACTCTCTGATTACACAGGTCAAATAGAGCATGTCATTCCTGCTAACTCCTTCAGTTTATCATATTCCTATGATTTTCCCTACAAAAAGAGTTCACTTCCCCATAAATGCTTTAACACTGTTTACTGATGGTTCTAGTAAACATGGAAAAGCAGCAGTCTGGTAGAGACCACATAATTCCATCACTCGATCTGGATTTACTAGCACTCAGAGAGCTGAGTTTGGGGCCTTGATATTGGCTTTGGAAACTTTTTCCACTCAGCCCCTCAATATTGTTAATGACTCTGCTTACTCTGTTTTTTTACTGCAGAACCTTGAGACAGCCCTAATTAAGTCCACTCTGGAGTCCACCCTCTGTGCTCTTTGACTTCAGCAATTGCTAGATCAGTGTACACATCCTATTTTTATTACACGCATTCAGGGCCACAGCTCACTGCCTGGCCCATTGATTTATGGCAATGATCAAGCATACCTTCAGGTTGTAACATCACTGCTTGACCAAGCCACCCAATCACATCAATTTTTCCGGCAAAACTAGAGAAACTTGTCTAAACAATTTCAATTTACCCAGAGGCTGGCTAAATAAATTATCCTGCAATGCTGAGATTGCCAGCTCACAGGCATGTCCCCTCCTTCAACAAGTGTTAACCCTAGAGGATTGGCACTTTATCAGTTATGGCAAACAGATGTTACACACATCCCTGAATTTGGAAAACTTAGATATGTACATGTCTCCATTGATACCAATTCTCATTTAATTAGTGTACATGCCCTTCCTGGAGAGTCTACTCGATATGTCATTAAACATCTTTTAACTTTTGCATTTATGGGGCAACCCATAAAAATTAAAACTAATAATGGTCTAGCTTACGCCAGCTCACAATTTCAACAATTTTGTCACACGTGGAACATCCAACATTCCACAGGCATCCCATATAATCCCCACGGACAGGCCATAATAGAACGTGCCCACTCCACCCTTAAAAATATGCTCAAAAAACAAAACGGGGAGTATGGATAAGGACCTTGCAACGCTATTGGCACAAGCCTTATTTACCCTTAATTTTTTAAATTTAGATGATAAATTTCAATCCACTGTAGAAAAGCACTTTGCTAAAACCTCTCAAGACATAAAACTGCAGTTTTATGGAAAGATGTAAACAGTAATGTATGGTGTAATCCAAGTGAATTGTTAACTTGGGGAAGAGGGTATGCTTGTGTTCACACCCCCTCAGGTCCTCTTTGGATTCCAGCACAATGCATCAAACCATACCATTACGTGGCTAGGACCCAACCTGGTACCAGAAATGAAGGAAGTGACCCTACAGGACTCGCTGCCCTGGATGATGCGGCTTCCTCGGACGACAAGCCCTGGACATTACCTGGGGGATGCTGAAGAAGGCAACTCAGGAGGCGGAATGAATCCTGCTCTGGACACAGACACCATTCACTCCAGATAATCTGTTCCTTGCTATGCTCTCTGTTGTACGTTGCAACTCATATAGGGTATTGATCCTTCATATGCTCTTGCTTTGTCTGCAACCTATACCTGCTACACTCTATTGGGCTCATATCTTAGATCCACCTTTCTTTCACCCTGTCACCTGGGCAGACACCTCCTTCTCAGCCTTTAATAACGTAACTGCTTGGCTAGGAGGGATAGATTTACCCCCAGTGGGGTCCATCATTAATGGCACACATTAGACTAAGGTGCCAGGTAACACTACATATCATCCCACTATCCTCCCACTGTGTGTAAGTTATAAAGGGTGTAACCCTTACTGCGTACCTGCCCAAACACACTTATGGCTACGTCATGACAAAGGAAATGTCTTAACATTCCTAGCTGCAGGTAGCCTCAAACCGGGCGATGCAATCAATGCCACTTTCCCAAACATTCCTTCCTGTGCTAAAGAACAAAGCTGGGAAAGTAATGGATTCCACTTTAGCTGGGAGGTCTGTCATGGGGAACAAGCCTATACCCTCCAGTTAGGCAATTGTAACATCTTAGACTGGAGGTGCCACAGCCATTTGCAGGGAAGCCTTACTGATGTCCTCATCCATCATGGCATCAATCACAGTTTTGTAGCCACATCCCATTCCCCTATGATTTGGGCCAATGTGGGGGTGGATATTTCCGACCCCAAGTAAAATCCATGCCACCCCAAGACACTCTGTGGTGCCTGGGACATCTTAGCACCTCCTTTGACACCTGGCATGGGACATACCATAATTCCAGTCACAACTATACTATAACCTTTATTCATAATCACACTGATCAGTGCCTGATTTGCACTACCCATCCATATGTTTTCTTTATAGGAGCTAATATTTCTGTTATACCCCGAAACTCCACGTTTGTGACCCAGGTGCAGGGACAGACTTGGTTTGCCTCATGTATTACTAATTACAATATATAATTTAAATATTACTAGAGTCATGGTATTAAGGAGACAATCTGAGGCATTCCCACCAGTCAATTTGACATGCGATTGGCAAGGTTCCTCTGCCCTTGCCACCTTAGAACGTGCTCTGTCCCAGATCAGACCCAAAAGATTCATAGACACATGTGTAGCCTTTATAGTCTCAGTCATAGTCATCCTAGTAACTGCTAGTGTGGCTGTAGCATCTATTACTGAATCAGGAAAAACAGCTGCTTTTGTAGATAATTTGGCCAGAAATGTTTCTAATGTACTTCTCTTACAGCAAGGTATAGATCAAAAGATTCTTGCACATCTGCAAGCCCTTGAGGCTGCCCTTGGAATATGTGGGGGAGCGACCAGATGCACTGGCATTCCAACAGCAGTTAAACTGTGACTGGGAGCATAAACATATCTGTGTCACTTCTCTACCGTGGAATCAATCAATACATAGTTGGGATGAGGTGAAACAACACCTCTGGGGAACCTTTCATGACAATTTAACAGCAGACATAAGGCAACTTAAAAATACAATTTTAGAATCCCTTCATACTGTAGATCTATCTACACACCCAACAAACAGCCATATGGAAGGGTGTGCAAGATCGTCTCTCCTGGATAGACCACCGCTCCTGGGCATCACTCCTTGAGTGGAAAAGAATGTTGCTAATTATACTCATGTTTGTCTTATGTTATTTACTAATTTTAGGATGCAAAGCCGGAATAAGAGCAATGACCACCATTGCTGACAGACCAGTTGTTGCACACACATGTACTCTCCAGCTAACAAGACTGAATGCAAAAAACAGAAAAGGGGGAGCTATAGGGGATCAGTCAGTGTGGTTGGAAAAATTGTAAGATGAAGTTATAGGATATAGACACAAACCTTCTTGGAAGGCCAGAAGGTTTGCATAACTTCAGTAAAGGATTTTTCTGAAATCCTTTTTACCCCTAATCCCCTTTACCTTGAGTTGATAACAATAGAGCAGATAACATGGGAATGTGGGGGAGTTTATCTGAATACCTTGTTTACTCATGTGGTTCTAAGACCAACCTTTGATTATCCGCAGGTGCATGATTGCGCTCTACTTGGGGGCGGGTCGGCAAAGTTAATTACCCACAGGTGTGTTGACTCAAAGCCTTTGTCATTAAGCCTGTGCTGAATAAATGCTGTCAGGGCCAGCTAGTCAAGGCCTGCATTGTCACAACTCTTTCTGTGCATGGCCTGGCCCCTTAGCTGCTCTGTCACTGAATATTGGTGTGAGTATGTTATTCATCTGCCATGCAGCTGGGGTCTGCAGGACAGATCCCTGCAGCTGGGGAAGGAGGCATGGGACTCTGGGAAAGGGAGGCAGTCACTTAGGCCTGGAACCAAGGGGCCAGGGGCCTGGGAAAGCAACAGAGCCACACAGTGACCTTGCTACCCCATTTATGGGCCAGCCACCACCTGCCCTCATGCCCAGGGTCTTTCTGCAGATGGAGCTGAAGAGCCAGAAGGCTCGGTCTGCAGCAGCAGCAAGACCAGTACCTGAGTCACCTGCAGCAGTATGTGGCCACCTATCAGCAGCTGACCTCTGAGAAGGAGGGGCTGCACAACCAGTTACTGCTGTAGACCCAGTTCGTGGACCAGCTGCAGCAGCAGGAAGCTCAAAGAAAGCAGTGGTCAAGATGGCCTGCCAAGAGTTGCGGGAGACCCAAGTGAGGGAGTTGCTCAGGGCGGGGCCCTGAGGGGAACGACCTGGCGACCTCTGTGCCTTCTCACTCTCTTTCTTGGCCCCTTAGGAGTGCCTGGAAGCTTTCAGCCAGCAGAATCAGCAGCCTCAGGCCCAGTTGAGCCTCATGGCTCTACCTGGGGAAGGTAGCGGAGACTGCTCACAGAAAGAGAGCCCCAGGAGGAAGGGATAACTGTTAGCAGCATAGGATTGAGGAGTTGAACAGACTTTTAGAACAGCTGGTCATTATGCCAACCAGGTGTCCACACTAAGTTAGGCACCACTATGGTGACCTCCTGGGAGCAGGGGACCACCAGGTTGCCTAAGGATGGTGAACTGGTCCAGCTCAGAAATGGAGCAGGTCAGAACTCCCGTGCCTATTGGTAGTGGGACTGCACCTGGGCAACACGGCAAGATCTTGGCTCTTTAAAAAATAATGAGGCCGGGCACGGTGGCTCATGCCTGCAATCCCAGCACTTTGGGAGGCTGAGGCGGGTGGATCACGAGGTCAGGCGTTAAATCAAGACCAACCTGGCCAAGATGGTGAAACCCCGTCTCTACTAAAAATACAAAAATTAGCCGAGTGTGGTGGCAGGTGCCTGTAATCCCAGCCACTTGGGAGGCTGAGGCAGAGAATTGCTTGAACCCAGGAGGTGGAAGTTGCAGTGAACGGAGATCGCGCCACTGCACTCCAGCCTGGACAACACAACGAGACTCCATTTCAAAATAAAGAGCTGCTCATTCCCCGCTAGGGAGGGACTGGCCCTGGGTTACACAGTGAGAGTTGGGGCAGAGGTGGGCCCACTCTACCGTTGTTGGGTTGTCTGAGGACCTCTCTGGCCACCCCCAATAGGAGATGGACTGGACAGTGAGGAGGAGGTGGAGGTGCCTCAGCCCATGCCGAGCATCCTGGAGGACCTAGAGAGCCAGAAGGCCATGGTGAGCCTGACTCCCCCTGCCCCACCTTTGCTGCCTCCCTCCGTGGTCCCTCCCAGACCCCCTTCTGCTCTTGGGTTCCTGGCCTTCTGATTTCTCTGGACCCTCACCCCTTCCCTGGGAGCCAGTGGTCGGACACCATTTCACCTGCGACTAACAGGTGCGTCGTCTGAGGCCCCCCAAAGCAAAGACTGCTCTCCACCTCCCTGCCCTGTTTGTCCTGTGTATCCCCCTATAAGAATGCGTACCTCTTGCCTGCAGGGGGCATTTTTCAACTCAGCTGTAGCTAGTGCCCAGGAGGAGCAGGCACGGCTACGTGGGCAGCTGAAGGAGTGCACTGCCAGCGCATGGCTCATCTGCTGGCCTCGGCCCAGAAGGAACCTGAGGTGGCAGCCCCAGCCCCAGGAACTGGGGGCAATTCCATGTGTGGGGAGACCCACTGGGCCCTGCAGGCGGCCATGGAGAGGCTGTAGGTGAGTGAGTCCAGGCATGGGCCAAAAAGGGTTGGGGGCAGGCAGGTCGCTGCCTTAATGTGACCCCATTATTTTGGCTCCAGAGCCGCTTTATGGAGCTCATGCGGGAGAAGGTGGACTTGAAGGAGATGGTGGAGGAACTGGAACATCGCTTCATCTAGCTGTCTGGAGAGACAGACATCATCGGGGAGTGGGAAGCCAGGGCACAGCAAGGAGAGCTGCACATCGGTCAGAGGGGCCCCAGCGTCTGAGACCTGTCCTCCTGTAGGAGAGTACATCGCAGTGTACCAGAGCCAGAGGGCAGTGCTGAAGGAGCAGCACCAGGAGAAGGAGTGCATCGGCAGGCTGGCCCAGGACAAGGGAAGAGATGAAGGTAGGGCGTGGAACATCTCTGCAGGGGTGGGGGTGGGGATGGGCTCAGGCACAGGCAGAGCAGCTGAGCACCCCTCCCTCCAGGTGAAGCTGCTGGAGCTTTTTGCGGCTTGTGAGCGACTGCAACGAGTAGCATGGAAGATCCCTGGCAGCTGCCCAGAACCCTGCTGATGAGCCCACTCCAGAGGTCCCAGCCCCCCAGCAGCTTGGGGCTGCTGACAAGCAGGGTAGTGAGTAGAGCCCTCAGGCAGGGTGGGCACACAGGAGGGCTCGCACAGCGCCCTGCCTCCCTCTCTCCAAAGATCTTTGCGAGGTGAGCCTTGCCAGCAGCGGGAAGCCTGTGCAAGGAGAGGCAGGGAAGGGTTCTCCCTGCGGTAACCCCACTGCGCAGCAGATCATACCGCTGCTTTATGGAGATGCAGAACCTCCAGGAGCACCCAAGCTTGGGCAGCAGCCCTTGCATTCCTTTTTTGTACCAGACTGCCGAGAACGATGAGGTGAAGATCACCATCATCTAAAAGCCGGCCACTGTCAGCAAAATCTGGAGAAGTGGGGCTGGAGGCTCTGCCTCTACTGTGTCCCTACCACCCCTTCTCAGTCAACCCTTTACCCTTACAGTAGCAAGCATAAGACCCCTGTCTAATGTGGAGAGACGGGTGGAGATGAGGTGAAGATCACCATAATCTAAAAGGCCACTAAATAAAATAAATTTTAAAAAGGTATGGGATTTTTAAAACATGTATGGGATTAAAGAAGTTATGGGATTTAAAATGTTATGGGATAAAAGTTATGAAAGTTATGAAAAGTTATGAAGCCAGACACGGTGGCTCATGCCTGTAATCCCAGCACTTTTGGAGGCTGAGGTGGGCGGATCACTTGAGGTCGGGGAGTTCAAGACCAGTCTGACCAACATGGAGACACCCTGTCTCTACTAAAAATACAAAATTAGCCGGACGTGTTGGTGCATGCCTGTAATCCCAGCTACTGGGGAGGCTGAGGCAGGAGAATCGCTTGAACCAGGGAGGCGGAGGTTGCAGTGAGCCAAGATTGTGCCGTTGCACTCCAGCCTGGTCAACAAGAGTGAAACTCCATCTCAAAAAAAAAAGGTATGAAAAAGGGCATAAAAAAGGATAAAAATGTTTAAAAAAAACAAAAAAAAAAACCAGGCCACTGTCAGCAAAGCCTGGAGAAGTATGGGGCCAGAGGCTCCGTCCCCATCATGTCCCAGCCACCCATTCCCAGTCACCCATTCCCAGTCACCCATTCCCAGTCACCCCTGTACCCTTACAGTAGCAAAGTAAGACCCGTGTCTAATCAAGGGGAGGCAAACATGCAGACCCTTTCCCTCCTTGGCCAGAGCAGACTCCTTAAATTTCTGGATGATTATTGTTTTCAGAGTCAGGCTCCTAGAATTGGCTTGTTTGGAGGAGGCCTGATGGCCTCCTTAACTCTCACCAAAGGAATTTTTTTCCTTAGGGGGGCTCCCATCTTCTTACTCAGAGAGGCAGCTGAGGCAGGACAATGGGGCTTAAGGAAGACCAGGTGAGGGCACGGGCTCTGGGGTGGCCCCCCTTCCTCAGTGTACATACTGTAGCTGTGTAACATTTTGTATATTCCAGTGATAGGGCCACCTCCTGTATCATACATAGCAGAGGTTGGGGCTAGCATATGGGGAGGAGGTTCTAATAGTTATTTGGGGCTGGAAAACTTATTTATTGATAGCATAGGGGAAGGAGACAGATGGGGTTGTGGCACCATGGTGATGTGACTCCTGTTTATTTTGCTTTTTATTTTGGAATGTATTTAGCCACATACTGCTTGGCCTGGTGTATTCCTGTTTCCCTCACTGGGTCATGAAATTTGTGCCACAGAACGGGGAGCCCCAAAGTGTCTGAGCATGTCCAGCTGGGGTATTGGGGACTTTCCAGGCCTGTTACCTGTATGCTGCCTGGTAACACCTGGGGAATTCCACAGGGACTGCCATAGCGCCTATGGGGGACCGTGGGGCCCTGACGGCCAACAGCCTCAGAAGCCTGATTTAGCAGTGGCAGGGAAGGCAGGTGCCAGCATCCAAGGGCACTGACTTCCATCCAGCCCAGGTGTCTTCCATTTTGTTCCCCTGGCTCCCTCGCCTGTCTGTGCCTGGATGACCCGTAGTGTCTCTGCAGGTTGCCAGCTGCCCTGCAGGCGCCCTCCAATCTGAGTTCATGGCTCTGCCCCCTAGTGGCCAGAGCCGGCTTCACAGGATGAGAGCCTGCTAAGCTCCAGAGGCTTTCCAGGACACGTGTCCCTTGGAAAGGATGTGGTCTTTTCACCGCTCCCAATAGCACCCTAGTAGTGGGTTGGCCCTTCCCTCCCCTGAGCTCCACAGAGAACACAACCAGCAGAGGACACATTCTCCGTCACCTAGCAATGGGTTTTATTCCCAGCCAAGGGACAGCAGGACTGGTAGAGACTGTCAGGCCACACAGCTGTCTGCACAGCACCCCCATGCTTGTCGGGGGGCAGGAGGGATGGTGGGGGCTGGCTGTCCACAGGCCAGGCATGACAGGGAGGCTCACTGGAGGTGGTGGACTTTGGATGGTGATTGTTGGGGGACAGTGTTCTCTTGTAGTTGGACCACAAGACTCCACAAGGACCGTACAGTGACTGATTCCCAGCGCTAGAGGCGAGGCAGTCAGCCACGTGTAGGGGTGTATACATATATATGAGTATTCAGAGAACAGGGCAGGGGCATATGACAGAGGGGGCACAAGTTTTCCCCAACAGTCATGCCTGGATGTGTCAACTCACCACTACAGATGAAGGGGGCTGGTTTTGGGGCTAGGGGAGCCACTGTCAAGTCACAGAACAGTCGTCCAGGCAGTCTTGGAAAGGAAGGTCTCAGAGAAGAGGAGGGATCTGTTTAGAGGTGGAAGAGGGCCCTGGGGCTCTCAGGGTAGGATGGACTTACCTGACCCCATTGGCTGGCAGTTGGAGAGAGAGAGAGTAAACGGAAGAGAGAAAAGCGAGGCGAGAGCTGGTAAGGCAAGCGCAGCGTGCTGCAGCGGTGGTGGGAGGGCCAGGGAGGGGAGGACACAAGTGCGGATGTGGCAAGATTCCTGGAAAAGAGGGGCTAGAAGGGAAAGGGGAGGAAGATAGAGGGAGGAGCCGCAGCTTCACAGGTAATGCCTGGCGGTGGCCTCTCACACGGCACCTAGGCTAATGTACCCACAGTTCAAACTGATACTCAGCCCCCTCGGGCTTCCCACTTGTCACCCTGTCTTTCAACCCACTGGCCCAGGGCCACTCCTGGCTTTGGGGAGCCCTACACAACAGCCAGCAGGCCTGACAAAGAACATTGCTTGAACCAGGAGGATGAAGCTAAAAGGGATGCATGGCTGGAGGGAGTGACAGAGTCCCCTCTAGGCAGTCAGAAAGCCCAGGACCCTGTGAAGGGACCCTGGGGGAAGTGGGGAGGGCAGGCAGCCGGATGCCAGTGGCCATAGATTTACAAGTCTAAGAGGGGAGCCTCAGCTGGTTGGGGGGCTACAAGTCGCATAGGTGAGGCTGGGCCCTTCCTGCTGGAAAAAGAAGAGCGAGAGCAGCAGGGGAAGCCTGGCTAGAGCTCAGCCAGACCAGTAGGCACTGTCGTCCCCTTGGCTAAATAGCATAGGCGACCCATAAGAGCAACAGGCCAAGGTGCCTGAGCCCACTGGCTGGCTATGGTCCTTCAGCTGGGGCCAGGGACACTGCCTTCAGTCACATGCTAGCAGGTATGAAGGTACCTGGGAGGGAGGCAAGACCCTACACTAGCAGGTATGATGGTACCCAGGAGGGAGGCAAGAGAAAAAAGACCTGGCTCGGTGGCTCACGCCTGCAATCCCAACACTTCGGGAGGCTTAGGTGGGTGGATCACCTGAGGTCAGGAGTTCAAGACCAGCCTGGGCAACATGGTGAAACTCCGTCTCTACTAAAAACACAAAAATTAGCTGGGCACGGTGGCACATGCCTGTAATCCCAGCTACTTGGGAAGCTGAGGCAGGATAATCACTTGAACCTGGGAGGCAGAGGTTGCAGTGAGCCGAGATCGTGCCATTGTACTCCAGCCTGGGCAACAAGGGTGAAACTCTGTCTCAAAATTAAAAAAAAAATTAATCTTAAAAACTTAGCCAGGTGTGGTGGTGCACACCTGGGGTTCCAGCTATTTAGAAGGCTGAGGTGGGAGGATTGCTTGAGCCCAGGAGGTTGAGGCTGCAGTGAGCCATGATTGTGCCACTGCGCTCCAGCCTGGGCAACAGAGCAAGAGCCTGCCTAAAAATAAATTTAAAAAATTTTAAAAAATGAGAAAGATGGGAGGAGGGCGATTGCATTTGATTTTTTCTAAACTTTAATTGAAATTTAGCTTTTCCTTCCATGGTGAATGTTGCTAGGAACAAACCTCATTAGTGTTAGCAGCACCTGTTACTTTGTTACTAACAGAAATCACAGATATTCTCATATTACACTGCAGCTGTTGCAGACATCTTGAGATAGCATTTTTGCTCATCATTACCTCGAAATTATAGTAATTAGACCCAACTTTGGATCTTGTTCTTTAATGTGCCAATAAAGCATATCATGTAATATCACAAATATTTTCATAAACTTTATTTTGATATAATTTATTTCCATTGCTCTCTGTATTTTGTACACTTAAAAAAAAAAATCTATTCCGAGCAGTCCATAGGCTTCCTCAGATACCAAAGAAGTCCATGGCACAAAAAGGCTAACGATGCTGGGGTCTAACCCAGAGTAGGTTTGCTGCCAAAGTGAGGTCCTGGAAGCATTCAAATGCAAAGAAATGTGTTTCTGTGATTTTCCATGAGACACTCTCTCTCCACCTCCCTTTCGGGTAGGATACTTTTATGGGCAGAACCTGGTCATTTTCCTAAGAAGACGAAGGCTTTGTGTACAAAAAGGGGTAGAGCCCAGAATGGCTATGGCCCAGAGGTGAAGATTCCAAAGTCAGACAAATAAAGGGGGTATCTCTTTATACTCAGTAGAAATGTGGGGCTGAGGAGGGGCAAGGCCCAGGTGAGCTCCATGAAGAAGGGTTGGGGTAGGAAGGTAGAGGGACAACTCTGGGAATTGGAGGTTGCAATGAGAAGAGATTGTGCCACAAAACTCCAGCCTGGGTGACAGAGCGAGACCCTGTCTCAAACAAACAAACAAAGAGGCTTCCCGAGAGTTGTTCTGTTATTTACAACATTTTACAAAACAATGTAGGTAAAGAATAAGGCTAATCTATATCAGAGAAACAAAGGCTACAGCTGCCTAGGTTGTAACTGCCTGTTTTTTGTTTTGTTTTGTTTTTGATTCAGGTGCTACAATCACATTCCTTTAAGGCTGAGAATATTTTAAAGTTCCAACAATTCATATTTGGAGTTATTTTCTTTTTCTTTTTTAAAAAATTGAGACAGGGTCTTTCTCTGATGCCCAGGCTGAATTGCAGTGGCATGATCTCAACTCACTGAGGCCTGTGAGATCAAGTGATCCTCCTGCCTCAGCCTCCCCAGTCGTTGGGACCTCAGGTATGAGCCACCACACCTAACTAATTTTTTTTTATTGTTTGTAGAGACTAGGTTTCACCATGTTGCCCAGGCTGGTCTTCAACTCCTGAGCTCAAGCAATCCTCCCACCTCAGCCTCTCAAAGAGGTGGGATTACAGGCATGAGCCACTATGT